TGATTCCTCCAATGTTCAACATCGCGGAATAGGATGCATTCTCTTATGTTTTAGTTTTCTTATTAAATCAACATTAAAATATGAGAAATGAGATGATTCGTCTAATATACGCATAACTCAAAACTCCCAAAAATAGAACACAATTGTTCTGTTATGGAAATCATCCTTTCAAGTACTGAATACTTTTGTTCTATTTTGAGAGTATTACTTCTGGGGATTGAGTACTATTATTCTGTTTTGGAAATACCACTTCCCATTCAGGAACAGATTTCTTCTGTATGTAATTATTAATTTTTTTTGAGCGACTATATAATTTCAAATATCATTAGGTAAAATATGGATGCGTAAGTGAGCTACAAATTTGGAATTTACGTTAAGCTTATTTATTTCATGCTCAAGAAATATATCAATTCTTATTTTTTCTTTTGTAACAAGACTTTACCATTCATTGTTGTTTTGGCCTTTTTAGTGGAAGTAACCCATATTGCAATGCTAACGACAGTTATTAGGATGAAAACAACAACGATAATTAAAATCAATATTGGTTTCCGATGAAATAAAGATCTAAAATCATAGATATATTTCGAATAAATAAATCAAATACTTACGATCCTGTTTGTGGACGAGTAGATCGTCTAATATTGTTTTTATTCTCTGTTTCAGGCTAAATATTAAAAACAATTATTCATTTAGAATTCTTTAAAAAGTGTTGACTGTTCTCGTAGGTAACCATTGAATTTGTTCATCTTTTCTCGAATAATAATGAAGAAAACTAAATCTCTTTCAGAAATATTTTATTTCGAGAATGAATATTTCATCTATTTTTAAAACTTATTTTATACTGAAGAAAGATAAGAATGTTTAACAGTTTTTTTAATCCTGTGTGAAAATTCTCAGAAAAACAAATAAAATAAAAAACAATGAGATTTGATTTTGATTCTATATATTTATATTTCTATAAATAAAAATTCAACTTGAATTAATCATTTCTATGTAGAATATTTTAGTTTGAGATGACATTAAAAATAATGCGACGATTTAGGATGATTTGTTTCTTATCGATGAAAATAAATTTATTGAAAAAAAGAACTTGTTAGTAAAAAGTATTGGTAAACGTGAAATGCATTGACATTATCTGAAGTTTGTTTTACATAAACAAAAAAATATCTATTATTTATTTCTGTTTGTTGAGATAAGATTTTATCCGTTGTTCTTAACGGAAAAACACTCAAAAAGCTCTTCTTACACATCTGTCTTTTATACAATGAAAATAATTCTTTCAGATCTTTGTTTTCAACAAAGAATTTCTTACAAAACGAATTTATTTATGTCACGAGTGTGGGTATTGGTGTGAGTAAGGGTATGAAATTTATTCCATGTTCACACCTACTCACACCCACACCCTAAAAACTCAGATAAAACAGAACTAGAGGTGCTGGTTCGATATTAGTATTAAGTTAACATTAAGATAATACAGTACCGATACCAAGTCAGCACTCCTAAGCATAATAACACTTACTTTGCATTCTAGTGATGCATCATGTGCAGTCGCTCGTTTTGAAGTCAACTCTATATCTCCTTCTTCATTCTTATCGATAAGAGGTTTTTTATATTCCATGTTTTGGTAGTTAGACTTAGGTAACTTTCCAAACGTTGGCCGTGACGATACTGTAGTTGTTACTTTTTTTCTCGTGACGTTGATTGTGGTTCTAAAAAGGTAAAAAACAATTCAAAACAAATATTAGAAGAGCACTACTGATGAAAAGATTGTTAGTTTATTCTTCCTAAAAACCGGCAATTATATTATAGAAATCGCGTGATATAGTTGCTCTCATCTGAAGTTGTGGGAACAAAGCATTTTGAAGTTATCACTATAAAATCCATTTGACTAAAGAATTCTTTCGAGCTAAGTCACAAATATGAGTACACTTTTACAAGAATGCTTCATTTCCCACACTCAAAATTAAGAGTACTACTAATTATAACTGTAAGTGCACTTACAATTGGGAAGTCATTTAGGGAATAACATTTCTTGTGCAAAGAAAATAAGTTTTAGATAAGTAAATTTTTAATTGGAAAATATTTTTCTTCGAATAGTGATACTTGATTGCGCTTTCACTGGTTTATCTAACTATGAATGGATCCTTGATTTAGCTAAGAGCTCAAAGCCTACAGAATATTTTATCAACAACTTCTTTGAAAGATAACTGGCAGTTATAATCCAAATAAAATCGAGTAATAAAATTTATATGATCCTCTCAAACATGGTTCAAATCTTCTTCTATTTTTTTTACAGATCTTCGATGTTTTAAAACTTCTCCTCTGACTCTTATGAAATAATTCCCATACCTTTGATTGTGTATTAGTATATCGTCTCAGTTTCGAAAAAAATGAAAAGCTAAACTGTAATCATCTTCTTATATACAATCCTTCTTTATTTTTTTCATTTACTTCCGAAATTGGTAAACCTGGATTTTTTCCCCATGTTAGAATACGTATCTATTACATTTCATTTATAACAAAGAAGAAAAAGAAGAAGACCTTTAAGAAATAGCTAGGATGGATTACAATAAAATAATTTAAAAAGTTATCTTTTAACATGTAATATAATACTGACCATGAAATGAGAAAAAAACAAAACAGAATTTACATTTGAATATCACAAAAACTCAAGAAGAATTCAACAAAATCTATCCTTATCCAAGATAAGTTGAACATACATATAACACTTGTTATATGATGTGTAGTCGATTTCAACATATTTTAATTGTACTATACAACGAAAAAAATATAAGAAATTGAAGAAATATGGTTACCAGCACTCTCCGTGTTGATATACTGATTCATTAGTATGATTCTTATTATAACAACACATGGAACAATATGCACTATTATTATGTTAACATCTAGTGTTGGTTACCATCAACTAATTACTTCAGTTTATATTATTCTCAAACTATACTATCTTGCACTAATTCATGCTCATTGATTAGTATATAAATATGCATATTAAAGTAGAAGGAGAAGTCTTGAGGACTGGTGTTATATTCATACCCACACCCACCCATACCTTCTATTTATTATTTATTAACAGTATGGAACCAGTGTGCAAAATTCTATCAATTGGCTGTTGTTTTCCGATTGGTAACAGTTACAGTGTTCATTTTGATTATTAAGAATGGTCATGCACCAGATAGAGGCATTAACAACGGGAGCAGCTTTATGCTATAAAGTAAATAGTAGAAAGAATAAGATAAAACAAATATTATAGATACTTGAATCGTTAATAAAAACAGCACAAGACGTGAATTTACACGTAAATTATATAGAGACTAAAATAGTTTGAGTCTACAACCTTTTTGTTACAGCAAATAGATTTTCATTCCCATCAATTTGAAATGGGGAGGATTGTCAGTCTAGGTGTCGAATAAATGTAGCATCAATACCCAATTACATTATAATTAAAATGCGTCCAAAGAAAACGGCAGATCCTATATTTGTTCTTTGATAAAAATTAAATTTCATCGAAAAGCACTATTTTTGGATAAAATCATTAGAATTGATCAAACTGAACGAAAAAATGGATTCGCTTTTTCTTTCTTAATATTTATTCACATTGATTTTCAACTGTTATATTTTCTATTCAGTTATTTATAAGAAATCCAAATATAACATGTAATCGGAGGATTGTTTTTCTAAAATCATTTATTTTAATGTTATTATAGATTAAAAAATGAAAGAATTAAACCATCTTCAGGGTGGGTGTGGGTACGCAGTCGCATACAGAATAACATTGAGACCCACAATCACATTCCCACACCACACGCACACAACAAGCAAGACACGAAGGAACTCTCTAACAAAAAAAAACAAAAGAAACGCTCCGCAAACAAGAGAGAAAAAATTCACATAAAATAAAAGAAGAAAAGAATAGGAAAAAAGCAAAACAGCTCTTCCCTTCAAGCTACCAGTCAACATAGTTGGTAAAAAAATGGACAAAAAAGACAAAACGAAGAAAAAAAAGCAAGAACATGGGTGAGAATATTCTATTTCACTCACATCCACATCCATCCACACCGTCACCCACATCAATACCTACCGACACCCAGATCCTCAAGCAAACTACTGTCATGAGCTTTTTTATTATTCTTCTATCGATTAGAATGAAATTACGCAGACATTATTTTTGAATTACATACCCTAAGGTGAATATCTTCTTCTCTATGAGAGAAAAAAACCATTGCTTACTATATTTTATACGTATAAAAGCCATTTGAAAGAAAGCTTTTAGTAGTATTGTTATATGATTAGAATGTTTTGATTCGCGCTGAAATAATTCTAGAAATGAACTGTAATCGAGCATAGACTAAATTCGATTGCACTAAAGACTTCAGTAAGCATACGAAAACTCTTGTCTTATAACGATGTAACTATCACAAAACGAATAAATGCATATAGTATGAATAATAAATCCTATTCCACAATATTGAGCAATGCAGGAACCACTTCCATTCAGTACCGGAAAGTCAATCTGGTTCCGGGGGTGGAACTGGTTTCGCGATGTTCAACATTACGGTAGGATGGATGTGGATGAAGTAGTAAATAATATTTGAATGTCATCTCGCTTTTTTTAATTTCAGATTATACATTGATCTCTCAACCATTTAACATATCAAAGTTTTCATATGGCGGAACTTTCTTTCTGTGCAATTTAATGATAATACTATTGCTGATGATGAACTGAGCTCTTGAGGATGTGTGGATATGGATGAGAGTGTGGGTGCAACTGTGAGTGACAGTGAAAAAGTGGTACTCGCACTCACCACACCCACAGCCACCCTCCCTAGATATAGTGAATATCAATGAGAAATAATATTTTTACAGAATAATTGTAAGTTATACAAAAAACGTTTCTGATAACATGATCAACCTGAATATGAATCGCAATATTCGTCATTACTATGGAGCTCAATTTCAACTAATCCTGAAGGTAAATGTTCAATGCGCTCAATTACAAACGACGTATGTGGCAGAATAAGTACTTCTTCTTCATGTGGATATTCAGAAATTGAAGAAATATCAAGTGCAAAGGGTTGCCTTTTCTTCTTTGCATAATCTCCATCATCGTTATAACCCCAACATTTATCTGTGTTTATATAGATGCACAAAACAGATAGCGATCGAGATTCACAAGAAGGTGCTATTGCAAATTGTTCGGCAATATCTCGAAGTTTCGATGTCGATGTAAACGCCTTGATTAATATTTCGATACCAACTTTATAGTGCTCTTCGAAATCTCCCAGTGATAATTTCATTCCACGATATGACGTCCCAAGAAAACGGTATTTTTTGAGCTTCTCATGCCCAGCAAAACAAGCAGCAAGACTAAAAGGGCCTAACAAAGCTCTCCAATATAGACCCCTAAAAGTATGGACGTCACGTGCCAGTGCTAAGTTAACCGTTTTGTAGAAACCTGTTTCAGCTGTATAAGCTTTGATTAACCAAAATGGGTCGCCTGTTTCTCGAGCTTGTTGGAGAAACCATTGGACATCGGCCAAATCCGATGTATTGTGAAATATTTTCTCATCTTCATGTTCTTCCTGTTCATAGAATCTGTCAACAACAGTCTTCACATCCCAACCTTCCCGAAGCATGACGTACCGATTTACACTCGAAAAACATGATGCAGCATGATTGTGGACCCATTCTAGCTTTTGAGTCTGTGTATCACTTGTGAACCGTGTCGTGATTGCAGCGGTTGAGCGAATAAATAGCTGTTTGACTTGTTCTGTACAGATTTCCTCGAGAGGTGTGGAGTTGTTTTTGTTTAGTATGGTTCGCATTGCGCCATGCTCAAGGAGAACCTTGACGATCTTTGGATGATTATAATAACAAGCGGCGTGTAGACTTGTACTGCCATTAGGTTCTAGCCGATTAATTTGGTAAATTCCCCTTTCGCCGAAAATTTTTTTCGCCGATGATGAATTTCGCCGAAATAAAATCGCCGAAAATTTTTTTCGCCGAAGATGAATTTCGCCGAAAGAAATTTGCCGAATGAATCTCTCACCGAACGCCCATACAAACTGCATATAATTGGTCTCATAGGTAACAATTGTGTTTTGGATAATTAGTCTATGATACCAAATCAGTTGATCTCCAAGTGGAACGACCTTCAAGCTAGACAGCTACCAACTGACTTGGTTACCAACTGACTTGGCTACCAACTGACTTGGTTGCCATCTGAGTTGGCTACCAATTGACTTGGTTACCAACTGACTTGGCTACCAATTGACTTGGTTGCCAACTGACTTGGTTACCAACTGACTTGGCTACCAACTGACTTGGTTACCAACTGACTTGGCTACCAATTGACTTGGTTGCCAACTGACTTGGTTACCAACTGAGTTGGCTACCAACTGACTTGGCTATCAACTGACATGGTTACCAACTCATATGGATGGATGTGGATGTGGGTGAAGGTCTGGGTGTGAATGTGGGTGAGGGTCTGGGTGTGAATGTGGGTGAGGGTCTGGGTGTCTATCATCTCACACCCACACCCACCCTCATTCATCTGAGTTGGTAACCATATCAGTTAGTAACCATATGGGTTGGTAGCCAAGTCAGTTGGTAGCCAACTCAGATGGTAGCCAACTCAGATGGTAGCCAAGTCAGTTGGTAGCCAAGTCAGTTGGTAACCAAGTCAGTTGGTAGCCAAGTCAGTTGGTAACCAAGCCAGTTGGTAGCCAAGTCAGTTGGTAGCCAAGTCAGTTAGTAGCCAAGTCAGTTGGTAACCAAGCCAGTCGGTAGCCAACTCAGATGGTAGCCAACTCATATGGTAGCCAAGTCAGTTAGTAGCCAAGTCAGTTGGTAGCCAAGTCAGTTGGTAACGAAGTCAGTTGGTAACCATCTGAGATGGCAACCAAAAGACACGGGATACATCTGACTTGGAATGCCGCCCACTTGAAGATCAGTTGATTTGGTAGCATAGACTTATTATCCAATACACAATTGTTGCTTGTAAGATCAATTCGGTGAATTTCATTTTTCGGCGAACTTCCTTCGGAGAAAAATAGTTTTCGGCGAAATTCATCTTCGGCGAAAAAATTTTTCGGCGAAGGTGGACTAAATCATTAATTTCAGTCAATGTTAATTCAGGTAAAAGACGCTGAATTGCAGTTAGATCTCCATTACAGCACGCTATATACGAGTTGCTTACACCACTTTCACACATTCTGCAGCCTGATGAATTGCCTTTTGCTTCTATTCTGACATTCATGCATTTTCTCACTTTTAAAAAGAGTACGAAAAATATTGTTTGCTTAAACACTTCTTTCAAAAAAGTATAATCTCTCATGTGAAGAAAAGAGCGAAAAAATCTTGAAGGTGAGTGTGAGAGTTTATTTGTGATCTCTCATCCACGCTCTCACCCACACCCTTACTAACTCTCACTCACCCCACACCCACACCGCCGATTAAAACTATTCGCATCGCTCTGAATCAATTTTCTCTCTGAAAGTGGAAATCTCAGAAGTCTCTTTGATAAACAACATTTCTTTTTTCTCCACGCGAGAACGAAAAAAAGAAAAAATAATTTATTAATCGATTCAAAGCGTGCATTGTACATTTTTGTTTTAATAAGTACTAAAAAGTTGCACTGTAGTTGACAACCTAGGTTTTCATCTTTCCTCCATAACATGGCTGCTGATAATTCAACATCAGTCGATGTCCCAACCCAACCACAATGGTACTGACTGTCTAATGAATCAGAAGAGGTTTTTAAAGTCGATCACAATTTTGAGGCTGTAGGTGTGAGTGTCTGTATGGACGTGGATGTGGGTGTAAAGTTTAGTTAACGCCACGCATCCATACCCAACTTGAGGGTGGGTGTGGGTGTCGGTCTGGTTATTATTAGGGCTAATCTCACTTACACCCACACCCTATATTCTCAACATAAGCCATTGTTTATTACACAATATCTGATCTTTCTTTATTTTACCTTGATTAGTATGAATTATACCATTTATTTTCAGAAAAACTTGGATAAAGTCAAACGAATTACATGACAAATAGATTTCTTTATTTATATTTTTAAATATAACTTTCTTTGAAAACATTTTTTTTCACTCAAATCATTAAAACAATAAAGACAATGATACGATAGTTATGCAAAACGTGCTATAAAAGACGTATTTGAACGCTGAACCACTGAATTGATAATCATCTGAGCATTAAGTTGAAGAAAAGTATCCGCTGGCTTCATCATCATATATTCCCATGTCATACAAACCGCTTTAAAACCGTCAGTTAACCGCAGTTTACCGTCCGCTTGAACGCCCATTTGACCGTTCCGGTTATCGCAGTTAACCGCGGTTAACCGCCGTTAACTGCATTCCACTGGCGATTTTCGTTATGCTCTTACTGATGTGTTAGGATCGAATGTAGTTTACAGTAAAAGTTTTAATTCACATCTAGTTTTCAGTTAGCCTTTATTTAAATCTCATCAAAATCAATTTCTAGCATAACAATAAAAGAGCATTTTAAATCATTAAAATATAAAAAATCACTTATCATTATTTAACATCACACATGTTCAACAAAATCAACTTGTAATGAGACAAACAAAAAAGACGCGTACATTATGTTTTCACACAGGAAGAATGCGTCTACAAAAACACGAGTTACAACATAAAATAACATTAATCAAGTACATATTCTACTATTCTAATTACGACTGTATGATAAAAACAGTTAATAAAGAAGTATTACATATTATAACAATAATCATGTAATATGTAAGAAATAAATATTTTTAATAAAGTAAAAATACTTAAAACAAGAAAATAGAAGTAAAAAAGATATTTAACAAGAAGCTTTTTAATTTGCAAATGAACCAATAAATTCATCAAAATCGTCGTATAGTGCTACTTGTGGTGCAGGTTGCACTGTTACATTACCAGTACTACTTCTTTTTTTTCAATTCATTGCTTCTCTTTTGAAGAATGCATTCATGCAAGGTTGTCCATTCAGACCGTAACATTTCATGATTCAGCTTGAATCTTGATCGAACTGCTTCTAAATAGAACCATATTTAAGAAGTGACTATGATAAAAACTAATTTTTGTTTTACCTTTAATAATTAAGTATCGTTCATCCTTTACCAAGTCATCTTTAGTAATGGTCGTTATTTCTTCGAACGTAAATAACTTATCCATTACAAGTGCAACATAATGACCCATATGAGTTTGAGCACCATATAACTGAAGTAGATCTACAGATACGCCTTCTGAATTGACATAAATCTAAAAAAAAACAACAGCCAAAAGTTCATAAGAAGAACCTGCTAAATATAACTCACTAATGTAGATTTAAATGGTGAATCGTCAACGATTATATTTTCATCACCAAATTGATCACCATTTAATGCGACATTGATCTTGAAAATAAAAATTTATTATTTAAAACGAAAAATATTGATAAAATTGATATTTACTTTTTTCTTTGATAACTCGACGAGAACAAAAGGATTTTTTATCCATGGAGAGAATATTGATATCTAAAAATGAAGTTAACTGTTCGAGAAATTTCTAGATAAATTAACAAACAAAAGTGAAAATCATATACATAGATATTATAAACGTAAAAAACTATTTTCAACAATCGATTCATTCATTATGTCGTTTATCTAATGAACAAGTCTTGAACAATTTCAATCAATCCAATGAGAAAGAAAAAAGCGACATCTTAGTATAGCTTTAAAATATGAGTTTTGTTTCTCTAAATCTTGATAAAACAAATAGAACAAGAGAATTCTAATCATATTGATGATTATTTCTAATTTTTTTTATATCACTACATATAGTTTGTTTGTTTTTGTTTATCGTTTCATTGTTAAAATCCGCTAGTCATAACCGATCGGTAACCGCGGTTAACCGTCGGTTCTGGCTTCAACCATCGGTCACCGCTGGTTCTTAGCACGACCGACGGTTACCGACGGTTTTATGAAAAAAAGAGCGACATGGGTTCGGCGATAATATTATCTCGTGTTGAACCTATGCTACGTAAGCAATAATAAATAGGGCCAAAAATAAGACACAAGCAGGAAATACAACACAAGACACGAGTCACAGTTGAATTAGCAAAACGACTAAGTTTCGAAGATGAACGAGCGACAATTTGATAATTGAATGCATGATAAGTCTAGAAAATAAATGAAAAATAAGTTTCATTACGATTTAACCCTTTCAGTTCCATAGTAACAAAATTTATCTAAATTAGTAAGTAATCCCTTGGAAAATTCTCTGTATTATCCTAGTAATTTGAATCTCGAACGGTTAGTATTACCGTTATACTTACGACAGAAATATTATTCTGATAACCAGTTGAACGAACTAATGCAATAAGTTTATTTTTTAATTCTTCTTGATTCCAGCCATGTAGCTGCTTTTGCAATATTATTTCTTTGATTTTCTTATTCGAAAGTGTATATTGTTCAAGAGCATCTCTTAATGTAACAGTTTCGCCAGCCACTTTTGCCTTTGCCGATGGAATAACAGCAACACGCCACCAATGTTCACAAATGTAAGGTGATAAATCAATGGAAAAATAGAACTCAGTCACAATACGGGACTTTGTTATAGTACGAGTTTGCCAGTTACCTTTAGTGTGTCGATAACTTTCCCTCTCTCTTATAATACTACAAACAGAAAAGATACACATGATAGAAATTATCTAGATTCAGCGAAATATTTATTCTGACGCATTTGTTGAAAGTACAAATACCTCTATATAATAACCACGAATATTGACATCTAATTTCGGTTTCTCATTGAGATAAGTCATGAAATAAAGCCATAATTGATCAGGATTTTTATCAATAAGTTGATCAAATGAAAGTACACCTTTTCGATTACGTTCTATTTCTGCTTTGGATGCTTCTGTATATGGAGTAACATCATTATGAAATGAAACAGCTCCATTAGGTACAATTGATACATCAAAATAGTTTGGTGGGAGATCATCGATGTCAGATGCAAATTGACTGATAAATGTATTGTAAGTTTGCAGTTCTAGATTTGTGTTAAATGGTAACACAGATTTATCGAAAGTTGAAGTAGAATCTATTGGGACTGTCCATACTGGTGAAATAGATGTGGAGTAGTCTTCAGTAGTAACATTATTTGAAACAGTATTCTTGTTTGCCATATGTACGACTTATTTCTTTCCAATCTTCTTGAACAAAAGCTTTATATATAAATATAGTATGATGATAATGCTAAAATTTACACAAATCTGTATAACACATGCTGATTCACGTCCAAAGTGCTTTTTGTAGTATGACAAGAGATGAATAAGATATAGTCACTCTTAAATGAAACAAAAAAGCATGTGTAGATAATGCACATATCCTTAGAATGAAATAAATGACATCACTCGTACTTAGCGCATACATACAATACTTGAAGGTGGATGTGGGTGGATGATGATGTAAAAAAGTGTTACTCACACCCACACCCTCAAGATGGTCTTCGCCTTCGATGACAACCAAATGACACTCATTGTAGATTCTCCATTTATATATCTGTTTTTTTCTTATTCTTTTCCCTCAACATGACACAAAGAGAAAAACACTGTTCTCGAGAAGTTCTAGTTAAAGATAAAAAAAATAATCGATTTCAGATTTGAATAACGAAAAGAACTGGTTAAATTATCTGATATCTTTCATTTAATTTTTATTCACTTCGAAAAATCCAAGATGAAATTTAGATTCGAAATGAAGAAATAAGTTTTTAGATTTTTTAGAAAAATCCTTTGCTATTAGTACAGAAGAACGTGATGGAGAGAAAAGAAAATTAATCAACGAACGTGTCTTCACTCAAAATAAAATATCAGGTATCGTGATCAATAAACAACTGACGTTAATGAAGAAGTCATGACTATTTTGATGTTTTTTTATTTAAATCTATTTTGTCAGGACTCGTTTCTAGTCACGTACTTTATTTCTCTAGATTTAAGAAGTTTTCTTTGAATATTTTAGTTTGTTTCTCTATGAAAACTCACTAAAAATATCTTAAGAAAAGATGTTTATCACGACGTGGTGAATTTTTCTCCGAAACAGCGCAAAGATGTGTGGTTTTAAATCTAATATCCACGTTGTGTGTGAAGATGAAACCAAAATCAACATTCACACCTTCAAACAGTTCATTTCGCCTCTGATTATAACTGAAATAGATAAATGCTACGGAGCTATTTTAATCAATCTAAATATCAATTTTATCATCGAATTTTGTTATTATTATTGCAACTTTGTAAGCAATTATTACTCATAACAACTTTAGCAAGTACATGCCTTCGATAAACGTTGCTGTCGTCATTATCATCAAAAATCATTTTGTTCTGTTTGTTCGGATGTGATCTTTGTATTTATTATATTTCATCTATTAACATGTTCCAACATCAGAAGTTTTTTTCAATATCATATTTCAATTGTGAATAGACTATAGTCATGGTATTGACATAGGTGAACAAATCAAATTCTGCTGACGTAAATCGTTGAGGGTGGGTGTGATCATCCATACTTTCAGCCCGCGCTTACACCCACACCCAAACAGGTATTTGGGTTTAGTCGAGATATAGTCGAAATAGTACGTCCTCAGAGCTAGAAAAATGGTATATAAAGATGACTCAAATTAATACGTACAAGTATCATTAAAATCTATCAAAAATGACATCAAAATGTTCGCCTCGCGAAGATCTATTATTCTATGTAGTTTCCAAAGCGATCTCCCGATGAAAAGTTAGTGGGCTGATTTGTGGTCTTAATGGTCCCCGTCCTTTAACTTTCAAATCAATAATAATCAAGAAATGAATATTGATGAAAATAGTTTTTGGTGCAATGAACATTATTGGTATACAGAATATTTCATATCAACCAATTCAATATAAATTTATACAATACTGTATGCATTTGATAATTTTAAACTTCAGTTAAATACAAATAGATATTATAATGAATCAATTAATCATATCAATACATTTAATAATGTAAAAGAATTAACAGTCAATCTTGAAAACTTAATAGAAATCAATCAATGTTATTTTTCTAGTATTAATTCATTATCACTAGGCCCTTCACTTTTACTTTCTCTTGATAATAGTGAAATGGGATACTCACAGATAAAATATCTTCAAACAGTGGTTAATTTATCAAATATTAAACATTTAACTCTATTAGATGGTTTACGATTTGAAACAATAGATTTATTTAAAGAAATATTAAAATCGACAACACAATTGACATCTTTAAAAACTAAATTATCTGATTTAATATGTTGGTTCGACAATAATGAACTATGCAAATATTTAAATAAATATATTAAAAGATTGAATTTATCGTATACATCATTCGAGAATTCAGATCAATTAGAACAATTCTGTAGAATATTCTCTAATCTTGAACAAATTAAATGTTCTACAAATGAATTAGAGACTATATATTTAATCAAATATTTATCCAAATTAACGTATATACGAACTTATCGATGTTCTAAAATTGATCAAATATTATCGATTAGAAAAGAAATAGAAAAACTTGGATTAGATATGACTGCTAGTTTAGGCAATGATGACCGACCGTATAGTTTAATTATTTGGATTAATCAAAATTAAATACATATATATATTTCATAATAAGACAAGATTTTACATTGCATTGTTTTAATTTTCAAGTTTTTAAATTTTAAAAAAATAATATTCTGTTGAAGGTGGGTGTAAGTGTTTCCTCTCTCATCTGTCTGCAACTACACTCACACCCACACTCTAGAAATTATTTCTAGTGTTGTAAAAAAGTCCATTGCACATAATCAGGAGTCGAACATTGACATGAAAATTGAATAGTTTTATTTATATCGTAATAAATCAAGTTCATTAAGCGATACTCTTATAACTGATCCTGCCGTTTGTTGACCATACATAATATCAAGTATATTAATATCTTCTAACGCTTGTATTTCTTTCCATATAGAATGAGCAGCTTGTCGTATAACATTTCGTAAACGTTTACGTTCATTTTCGATGATAGATTTTCGTATTGTTCTGATATCTTCGGAATATTCATAGTCTTTATGCATACTCATATATAATTCACAAAAAAGAGTCGTTGTCAAGAATTCAAATTGTGATGGATAATAATGACGAATAAAATCTCGACTATCTTTCCCAAAAAATGAAAAACCTTGTCCATGAGTAGCAAATATTGGATTAAGTTTAATTGGATATTTTCGACTAATTCTCTTTATTCGTTTATCAGGTAGTGACATAGTTTTCCCTTCTGTGAAATGCCAATGAATACCATTATAATCTGAAATACGTGGATCGAATTCATAACGTTCTTGTTCACCCTTTAATGGCACTAAATAGAATATTACACCACCATTAATAAAATTCAAATGTTTATACCAACTATGTAACGTTGAAAATCTTGTAATATCTTTATCAAGTTCATGACGATTGTATGATACATATTGTTTGACTAACTTTCGAAGACGAATATTACAATTAAAAAATGATTGAAAATTATCTTCTGGTTCCAAATAATCAAAAATACCAATAATTAATTCATTCGGTAAACATTCAAATATTGAAATATTCGACATATTAAACGTGATGTTTGTCAAGATGGTTTACTCATTTTATATACGAAATGAATTGAAATGAGTCAAAAGAAATTTCTGGTATTATTATGCAAGAAATATGCGTCATGTATATTGACTAAGTATTATAAATTATTTCACTTCTTATGTCAGAAAAAAAGAATTGCAGTAATATCAGTTAAATGTCTTTCTTCATTTTCAATGATAAACATGAAGCAACACAGATTGAAGCAGATTCAGATGATAAGAATAATAAAGATTACATTCATATTTTTTTGTTTATTCTGTTCTTTCTTTTTTTAATCTGTGCTATGAAAATAAAAAATACTGCCTTTAGTCGAATGTAGATTTGGATGTGGGTATAATTAAACAAGATTCAAACCTACACCTACACCCTTCCTTCTTATTATGGTACTCTATATTATTTAATACGATTTGACATGCTAAACTTATAAAAATTAGTTTTATGCAGTTTTACGCATTTATTTATCTATTTTTTAATTAATTTTAACTGAATATGCAGCAGAGCAAATATCCATCGAATCTGCAATTGAAAGAATCTTATGCTCACACTAGGTCTACATGCGACTGGAAGTCGAGATCGTTTTATCGTTCATCTACGATTTTTATTCAATCGTAAATCTTGACTTAAATATAGAAATATTACAACATTAGCATATCATGTTATTATACAGAATGTTAGTGCATGTCACAGACACATAAATGACCACCACCAAAATAAGAAGCACGACCAATAACATCATTACCAGCAGCAACAAGAACAATATCTTCATCACCATAATTATTAAGATAAGTGCCAGGAACACCAATACCAAGACCAGAATGACGACGAAAGCCAATACAGGTAGCGCCAGCAGCTTTTGTAAAAAGCTTGTAGGCACCACAATCAGGACAGTCGCGACACTCACGACATATACGACCGTGACGACAGTCATGACACTCACGACACATACGACCGGTACTACATTCATGACACTGACGACCATCACGACATTCATGACACTCACGATCGTCACGATTGTTACGATGGATGTGGTCATGACCGTCACGATAATTGTGTTCATGACCGCGCCAGCGAGTCAAATCATTCGCATTCGCATTCCCATTTCTGCAGTTGCAGAACCAATTCCACATGTTCCGGTCACCGTTAAAATGCCAATCACGACACATGCCACATTTGTCACAACGACTACCATTACAAGGAAGTTGGTGGTTCATGTTAGATACAGAAAATTCTTGAGGTTCTAAATGAAAATAATAGGCAGTCACAAAATCATACAGGGCATAGATGATGATCTTATAAGAAGTCTGTTCAGATGATCGTGATAAACTAGAGTGAGCGTGAGTGTATTTCTCTTATACTCACATCCTACTGAGTTTCACAACTTCATAGTGTTCTACAAGTTCTCGCTCGACGATGAGTGAGAAAAGTGTAAGAACAACACCCGAAAGATATGTTGTAAATCTAGACAGATCATTTGATATAACTTACTTAATTGACTTGATTAAGCAGTGCTCTGAAATGAGAAAGCTGCTGAGAATAGAGTATTTATAGTGTCACCAAGCGTTATCAGAGACCTCTTTCTCCTTTGTCTAAATAAAAATCGCAATGAAGTGAATCATCACTCTGTAATCTCATGATTCTTATCAACAAGGAAAAGGAAGTGACGGAAAGGACGGGGGCGTATAAGAAGCGCAATTGGCCCATTAGGATTTTTTATTCACAGACACATTGAATCATATATCATTTCATAGAGCACGTTCAGACAAGCATTTTTCTACTAAATTCATACGGTTTTGGTTGGATCTAAGAATTTTTAGAGCATTTAGAAAAATGCTCATGTTTTTGAGGGTGTGGATGGGCGTTGTTATCTCATACATCCATTACGCACACCCACACCCACCGTCAATTTCTGGTATTATTATGCAAGAAATATGCGTCATGTATATTGACTAAGTATTATAAATTATTTCACTTCCTATGGCAGAAAAAAAGAATTGCAGTAATATCAGTTAAATTTCTTTCTTCATTTTCGATGATAAACATGAAGCAACACAGATTGAAGCCGGTCTAATCTGCGATTACTTCGCTTTAAAAGTAATAGTAGAAATGCAAATCACCTTCTGAACTCTGGAGACTACTAACTCGCTCATGTGCGATATAATTTTGTGACAAGAACAATAAAATCTTGATGCTTTTTTCAAGTTTCATGGCTAAAGAAAGGCGCTATTTGTTATCACAAAATAAATGGAGAAAATGCATATTTTTTTAGGTTTCGTTCTATAATGTAACATTATCTGGGACGTATATATGAAGGTTTGCTCTTATCTCTTCCAAACAGAGAAAAAACCCATTCAAGTTAAATGATATTATTATCAGTTGAAAATAAAATAAGGAGTTTTTACCAACTTGGGCTATTCACTTTTTTTGTCCCTCTTTCAAGATCGATAGAATAAAAACTTCATTTAACTTTGCCTACAATCCGTGAATCAGGTATCTTCTACACTTTTATACACTTCGTAGAGAGACACCACTTGCAACACATACATAAAACAGACACAATAATAGCTACTTTGTGATTGAATGTGGGGCAGTTCCATATTAGTTCCGATCCTAGGAACTGATCTGTTCCACTAGTTCTTTGATAGGAACTAATCTATATTCAATAGTTCTTCAGAATGAATGAATTGAAGCTGCCGCTTCTTTCTATATTTTTCTTCGTTTTATATAGCTTTTGTGTCTAACTTTTGTATTCCCATCTCTATATGCTCAGTGATGCAGTGAAACAAAGTGATTATTCACTGATTTATCTAGCGCGAGACTAAGGGTGGCGGCTTCTTCCCGGAGAACGATTTTGCCTTCCAGAAAACTGCAGTTTTTGTGCTTATACAATGTATTTGTCCTCTTAGAAATCGCCATCGTACTCTCGAAAGGAAAAGCCTAGATAAAACACTGGTTTTCTATTTTTTATAGAAAAAGTAAAAATCTATTTTATACGAACTAAAGCAGTTTCTTGTACTATCGATACCATAACAAAATAGAACTCAATACATGCAATTGCATTTCTTTGTAGCATTCAAAAAATTGAGACTCATTTGTCGACACTTATAATCATCGATTAATACATGTTTCAGTCTTTTCCTTTTTTATTTCAAACACGACATGCTACCATTCGTGTTGAATAAATTAGTTCTAAAATAGATCAGCTCCTATCAAAGAACTGTTAGAATAGATCGGTTCGAATCAAAAGGATTGTTATGGATGTAATGATAATACTCACATCTTACATTCACATCCACCCACCCCACACCCACATCCACACTCTCACCTATATTTTCACCCATGTCCACTTCTAACTTATACTCACACTCATAGTTACATCTCCACTTCTTGCTCGTAGTCACGCACAGTGACAGACTGTTGTCTTCAATAAAAAAGAAAACTTTTTTGGAGTATGTTTTTCACTTTTTTCTCTCACTGTTTCTAGAGAACATGCGGGCATCTATCAAGTGTACAGTTTTAGCTTCATAATTTTATCAGCAGTCGAGTCTGAAAGAACTTCTTATTGCTCTTCTTGTAGAGACTTTGACAGCGCATCTTTTGAGGAAAGTCGGAATTATATGGACTATCTATGGGTGAAATGTTTTCAAAACTAGTCGTGTTACAATCATTATGTTTCACCCAGTATATGCAGTATCCTTCAAATCACTTTCAATCGTGAATTCTTTAAATCTCTGTAGCTATTATTTAGATATAATTTGTTAGCAGTTTTGGCACTGGATCTTTCCTTATTAAGATCATGTCCGTTATTATCGACATGGAAACATCGCAAGCCAAGTCTACTATAGAAAGTACTACAATACCTAGCGCGCAGGATGTATTTATGCTCGGTTTCAAGATAGTGTATTTCAACGCAGATAATAATAATTATTTGACACACAGATTAACGAAATTTGGAATCGTCGACATATTTACAAATAGTTATGACTGTGAGA